CTCTCTCTTTCTCTGTCTCTTTTTCTCTCTCTCTTTTTCTCTCTCTTTCTCTTTCTCTTTCTCTCTTTCTCTTTCTCTTTCTCTCTTTCTCTCTCTCTCTCTTTTTCTCTCTCCTCACAATATTTTCAAGTATCTAGCAAGTTCGCACTCACGACTTGGGGAATGAACATCTAACTGCGCGGGCAGGGAATGGGAGAGGGTTTTGCGGGAGACAATCATAAGCCTTTTGTTTTTTTTTTTTTTTCAAAAGCAGTTGAGTGAAGTTAAAAGATTTCTTAATTATGTTTTTAAAATGTTCCGTTTTTATTCGTGTTAATCATGAGTTCAAAAAATAATAAAAACCGGTAATTATTTTCTCAAAGCAAAAATGTTGGATGTACGTGTATGTTAAATTTAAAGAGTTTTATTACGAAACAATAAAAGTTACATTTGGATGCAGAAAAAAATAATGGGTCATTATTGAAATATTTTATTTAAAAGTTACAACAAGATGTTTAAACTTTTTCCTCCCTGTAACGTGAATAATTTTAGTGACCTGTTTACTGAAAACACGCCAGTCGTTTTTTAACACGTTAATTTTATTTTAAAAATCGCCTGTTGCCGTGTTGAATATGTGCCAAGTACGTTTAATTTAAAAACAAAATTTAATTGAGCTTGTGGATTGCATCATCAAATTACAAAATAACAGTATCATTTATAAAACGTTTATTAGACCTAACATGAATATTATATAGTGTCTCAACATCGCCCCTGGTCCTTTCAAGGGATGTTACCTCCGGTCCAACGCAATGACAGCCAGTTCCTTACCCACACTCGCCAGCTCAGCTGTCTAAGCACTGCACCATCCATCGGAGACAGGTGATTCAAAATAAATTTCGAATCGAGAGTAAAAAACAATTTGAAGGGAAGACAGAGCATGGGGTCATGAATATGTTTCGCAGAGTTGCCTGATAATATTGTTTTATTATTACAAATCTGTTTTCAAACTCATCGATCATAGAGCAGTGCGGACTCACAAATATTACTCAACTAATTTTACAAAAAGGAAAAAATAATAATTTTCAAGCAATTTACCCTCCACAGATTGGCTTAATACCCTTTTGAACACTCCACTACGTGAAGATTCATAAAATATAAGTAGTTCTTTTAGCGAAATTTTTGAAATGCTTTAGTGAAATGCTTTTTTTAATTGACGACGTAGCAGCACCACGTGAGTTCCACACTTGCACTTGGAATAATACAAAAATATTATATAATACAATATTTGCATCGTTTGGCACTCAGTGAAAAAGTTCAAGTGTCCATAATGTGATAATTGTTTTTATCCACTTTGGTTAGGTAATGTGAAACATTATGCTATTATCAGTTTCATAATGAAGTACTTTACCGCTCTAGTGTGGTACTTCATTACCACAGTAGTGCGGTAAAGGCATACGAGTAGGGTTATTCTTAGACGAGCACTATTCCATGGTCTACATTGTTTTCACACTAATCCTTAAAAATTGAGTACTCTCGCTCATATTTCTTCTTTGATTTGTATGGTAACAAAGAATCTATAGCAGCATTTGCTGCTATTTCTATTTCTGAGTCTGAACTGCGCATTCGCTCATATTGTCTCCAAATGTGTACACCGTGCGCGTTTCAATGTTTTCCTTCGTTAAGACACAGTGTCCCACTTAAAGGGGAAAATGTGAATACTAAATGTCAATTTTAATCTTAAATCTAACAAATTTTTACAAAGTCGATAAAACGTTGTACGATTTCGTGTCGTAACATCTGATTACAATACGAGATTGGAAAACTGCCAAACTCGTAAATAACTAAAATGCCTTTGTGAAATTTTACCATTTTATATTTTTTGTAATACAATTGACATTCGTTGTTGTTTTTTTTCTAAATAACCATACTGCATGATGTATTGTTTGACGCCAGGCGCCGATCAATATGGGTAGAGAATCACGACAAAAGGACGACGATTGTCACTTCGGAGACGTTCGACCCTGGGATAAATGCCGTCTTCTTTCCTGAAGGGTTTCACCAAACCATTTCTTTTCGCTGGGTCACCTCGAACAAGTTTGCTTCTTCCATCAAATAATTTATTCACGTTTAATAAACCCCTGGGATCTTGGTGTTTGTAAGGAGAGACAATAATGCTCGTGATGGTTCTTATTGAGTTACCGTGTGTTTCTTCTACGCGTTACAATTCCAATAATTAGCTCGTCGTTGGAATGAACAAAGAACAAACGGCCCTGGCACGTGTCGAACTTTCACATCGAAGTTCTTTCTTGTTCCACTGTTTACCACACCCATGCCATATAACTAGCGTGCCATGATTATCACGGATTTCTATTGTGCCCCGCGGCGACCAAAATAATTTCCGTACTATGTTCTTGCCTTGGTATCTGCTCTCCGGCATCAGCTCGCAAGTTAAGCACCACTCCCCCAACTTGCCTGCTTTCCACGTCTTCAAGAATAGTGGTGCCTTGCATCTATTCATTACGTTATGCCAATACGTTGTTTGTTTTATATCAATTGTATATTTAGCAAAGAATCTTTTATAAAATAAATGCTCATCATTTTGCTTTCTTTTTTAATCTTCTCTTGTAGAAAGAATTCCCATTTTAATAACTTTGGTTAGGAGTTAAATTCTGAGTATTTTTCTGTATATATGCTAATATTTGTGAAAGTTATCAGTAAATGTGCTATTTTCATGTTACTAGTTTTTGCTACATGAAAATCAGTAGGTAGCGAAAATGCGAAGGAACGGGGATCACAACTCTGGTTACTGACGGGTTTGTAAAATAATGAGAGTAAACGATTAAGTTCTTAAGCCTTCTTGCTTCTTATGATTTTCATAAAAAACAGTAAAACCTGTATCTGAAAGAAGAAGTTGAAACCTGCTCACGTTATCTTGTGATCCTTAATTCCTTGCCCATCCTTTTACTTACGAGTTGAATTATTAATACAAGTGACAACAATCGTCAATGCTGATGCGAATGAGGCTTTATTCTTACATAAAGTATACATATCTTGGTCTATGTTTCTATCAATTCAATAATACTTTTAATGTTCGTGCAATCCATACCGTAGTGCGGAAGTGGTGCGTACTGTGGAAATGGCGCGTAGTGCAGTTTAGAAACATGTCCACCTTGGTGATAGTGTGGACAATTAAGAATGATTTTCTCCTTATTCTGTTTCCTTTCTAAGTCTTTGTGGCAGTTGATTGTGTGTCCATGAGAATTCGCAGTGCGTTTGTACTTAGATGCGGAAAAGCCCTGTATATTTTCGGTTCAGTCTGGAGAATAATGAAACCATGTCCGTTGATTTGTTTTCTCTTCTACATTGCATGTGTTCTCTCTAATCCCTGGAGAATGAGGGGGAAGCGCTAACTTATACTTTTTGTTCTGTTGTATGGAGTGTGTGCTCTCCTCGTGACGCGGCGTGTGCTTGTGTGCTTCGCAGCCTAATGTCGACGGAGCGTCACTTGTTCTTGTGTTCTGTTGATTGGAATGTGTCGCAGTGCAACTGTATGTGTGTGCTCTCCTCCTGACGCGGCGTGTGCTTCGCATCCTGACGTCCACGGAGCGTCACTTATTCTTTTGTCTTGTAGTCTCGAGTGTGTCGCAATGCAACTGTGTGTGCTCTCCTTGTGACGCGCCGTGTGCTTGTGTGCTTCGCAGCTTGACGTCCACGGAGCGTCACTTATTATTTTGTCCAGTTGTCTGGAGTGTGTGCTCTCCTTGTGACGCGCCGTGTGCTTGTTTGCTCCCCAGCCTGTCCTCTACGGAGCGTCACTTATTATTTTGTCCTGTTGACTGGAGTGTGTCGCAATGCACCTGGATGTGTGTGCTCTCCTTGTGACGCGGCGTGTGCTTGTGTGCTTCGCAGCCTGACGTCCACGGAGCGTCGGCAGAGGCGCGGCCGGTTAGCGCAGCCCCGCATGAGTCTCCTGGGGAAGCCGCTCAACTACCGGGCCAGTCGGCGGGACGCGCGCTACCGCCGCCTGCAGAGCCGCGTCTACAACTTCCTGGAGCGGCCGCGCGGGTGGCCCGCCATCATCTACCACATGATAGTGTGAGTGCCCGCCGCGGGGCGCGCCACCCTCGGCCCCCTCTGCGCGAGAGGTTGCTCTTGATGATGAGGTCCGCACTCGGACGGTTTGCTGCTGCTCCTTCGCGCCAAGTGGCATTTTCGAAGTGGGATCACACCCGGACCTGCATTTCTTTTTTCTTTTCTTCCTTCTCATCTTTCTTGCTATAGATTTTCTCTTTATTTTTTTATTTAATCGATTGTCCTTTACTTTTTTTCTTCTTTAAATTTCACTTACAATTTATTTCTTCAACATCTTTTGGAACTTTTAACTTCTTTCTTTACTTCTTTCAGCCTTTTTAATTTACTTTTTACCTATTTCTTTTGTACATTTTCTATTTTGTATTCATATTTTCCTCTTCTTCAGTTCAATTTAATTTTCTTTTTTTGTTGTGTCTCTCTACACGTGTTTTCTACCTGCCCTTTTGCTGTATTAAACTCTTCCCTCTCTCCATGTCTCCCAGTAGAATAACAACTGCTAAAGACGCTCAGCAAAGCAACGTCCAGAGTTCGGATTAAATCAATAAGAGCAATCTCATGTCACAACGTTATAATGAGCATGGATCTGTGTATTTGAATACTACGTTTGTAGGTCAGGAGTGTTGAGAGGCAATTCAATATTGCCTCAAATACTCGAATATTCCGAATGTAATGCAAGGCGATTAGTAATATGTTGTCTAAGGTTTTCGTAGAATTGTTTACTGAAGAAAACAACTTACAAAATCCGGACAGGTTCAATCAAAAAGAAATTGGGAAAATAGCTATTAGAAAATAATTTCATTAAAGAATTTGAAGGGAACATACTTAACAGGAACATACTTAATATAGAGGTTTATTTTTCATTTCTGAAAGGCATAATAGGTTTACATTATCTATCTTCTGCGTTAAATACTTTGACAATATAAATTTAGTCTGTTATTTTTACAATTACTAAATTATACTTTTAATTTCTTAACAATATATTTATTTATTTCCACCGTCTAATCTCAAGAAAATTATAATGTACAAATATAAATGATTTACTAAAGATGTAGTACATCTTTACTTTCTACAGAAAATCAATATATTATAACTCCTTCCTTTATAAATGGTTTTTGTCGCTATAAATTTATGAAGTTAACAATATACCTAATTAATATTTAATGACGAGCAGTATTCGCTTGGAAAGTTCTGCAATGTAGGCGTATGTTAGAAAATGGTACTCATTTTCAATTATTGTTTCGGATTTCTCATGCAAGTGAAAATTCCCAAAATAGTTAACGTCCAATAAAAATGTATTTGTTTATTGTGATTTGATTCACACCGTAGATATAAAGTCTCGATTGTTACTACTGATAGAGCGAATACCTTTTCTTGATCTTTTCAACAGCTCTTTTCATCCAACAGTCCATTCATTTATCACCCATGACTTTGAGGACGCATTAAAATTGCATAACCCTCTGATACGATCAACTCAGATTTCCGAAGGGAAGTGGCTTAATTGCAATGTCGAGACGTTCGCGCTCGACTTCGAGAAGCGAACGAGCTACGAGTCTGATGGCGGACGCGTTTCGTGCCAATCTGTTCATTCTAATCTCTTGAATCTCTTCAACACGAGTTTCTCAATGAGCACATGCCTATTGAGTGGAGCAAACGTGGTGATTGAACGCTGAATATATTCCGTGATATGAGTTCGAATGTAATGTACATACGTCGTATTTCAGTCTCCGTAATTATTGCTGTTGAATGAGTATAAAGCTGTGAGAGAACAAAAGAACAAATGATTTGAGGGTGAGTGTTTTTATTTTTTTAGAAGGAACGGTATGATTTTCACCCACACAACGTGGATAATTTTAGGGTTTTGTCCGATTTTGTCACTGTTAGTAAAGTGTTTTCTCTAGCTTTTCCTGTTTAGCAAATAACCTGATATTATGACTGATATTTTGTTTATTTCAACTGCTTTATCTAGTTAGAGTTAACAAATGAAGATATGAGAATATTGGAATTTTAAACGTTGGGCTTGCTGCCCATTGTCCGGCCGTGTGTCTTGGACAAGCACCGTAAGCAGGCGTATACAGGTGCATACACGCCGGTATGCAAACGAGCCCCGCGACAGACTACTCGCCCCGCGCCGCCCCGCGCCGCGCCGCCGAGGGCGCAGCTAATGGGCGGTCGGTGTCGCCCGCGCCCCGCGTCCGCTCCCTCGACCTCCGCGCCATCGACCCGCCCACGGAGGATCGAGCGGTTGACGGACGCCATCTTGCGGTCGACGCGCGCCACCGGCAATCACAGGCCACAAAGATTTGCCGCGAGTCTAAAACGCCGATCCTCGCCCGCTCGGCGTAGCGCCCGACTCGTCATTCCTCGCGTGATTAAGCTGGCGATTTCGTACGAACAGGACAGATAGAATGGAGAAGAACGCGGAGAGTGATACAAGTGAATGGTGGAAATGAGACAAGAATGAGAATTTACAGAGAAACTAGTTTGAAAGTTTTGTAAAAATTCTATACATTTATGCTACAAATGGCACATGGTGTAGCGACTCTGATCACTTTTGAAATTCGTTCCAAGGTAGAGCATTCACGCGGCATGTGGTTCGTGAGTGGTTGCCTGCCATCTGGAACTGTTGATATTTAGATTTATATTTATTCAGTCAAAAAAAAGCAGTAAAAACTATATGTGACGTAGGGGGGAAAAGATTATATGCGCACGGTTTCCTGTTCCAGAACCCCTTCCCGTCATTTTAACTATAAATAGTTGAAAGATGAATAAAAGTTTAACTTACATAAATAACAATAAATTTGTAAAAGTAAATTTTAAAAATCGCTAGATTAGTAATATTTGAAAAATAGTTTTTTTCGTTTCTGAGTCATGAAAAACGTATTTGTATCGGTATACGAATTGCAAGTATGATTTTTCTGCATTGCTAACAAAATAGAAACTCGTCCTTACCTTTGCCTTTACCATTTCAAGCAAAAGGAGAGTTCAACAAAACGTGCGCATAGTGAAGCTACATTTACGTTATACCGTTCTCCTTGGATCATATGGAGCTCGAACGGTGAATGACAGGCCCTCAGACGTGCGATGAAGTGAAGATGTGGACGTAGTTCGTGCGTAAACATCATGCCCAACTAGCGTTCTACACCGACACACGCGGCAGGTTCCCGAGTGCGTTGTGAAAACAGAGCTCTGGAGAGCAGGTTCTCAATGCTCTGAATGTGACAGGTGTTCGCGCTCTATCGGCGTTGCCCGTTCAGTACACAAGACGTCCACCTGGAGCGCAGTTGGCGCAATGTGCATCTCTCTCCAATCTCGGAGAATGCGATGCTGACACACGGTGGGTCCGACATAAGAAAAGAAAGGGTGCTTTAACCGCATGAAGAAATATTCACCTGATCCGCGCTGCATTACACTCGTGATCAGTTGGATAACTATAAATTGAGAATTCTTGGAAATGCGTTAATCAACCATCAGTCGTGCCAAGTCTGTTGAGAACGGGTTGGAGTTATTGGTGACAAGCATTCAAGTGTTGTCACTTTATACTCATCATATATTGATTTGTGTTTCAAGAACTTAGGAACAATTCTGCTTATTCCATATACTGCATAGAAAGTATCATTATCTATACAGCCACCAATTTACTTTATCCAGAAGGAAAAACAATGTCGCTTTAAATTATTTCGTTTTATAATAAATGTGTTATTTAGTTACTTTGTAAACAGTCTCTAGCACAAGACTGCACAATGATTTGACAGAAGCAACAATATACACAATATTAAACAATATTAACAATATACACAAACACTTTTACAATTTCATTTCCACACAAGGTCACACAGGTTCTCGCACGTACGCGCACACGCTTGGCATCGATTCGTGCTCTTCTGTTCTACAAGGGACGGGCGTACGTATAATCGCGCTTAATTTCATGTCGAAATTAATCGTCATTTGGATTTTCTTGCTTCAAGCCGTTTGTTGGGAGTCACATAGCAATGTATTATTTTTTTCTTTCCAGAAAAACTTATATTCATATTTTTATCTCTAACGGTACAATCTTTCGATCCAACTAGATAGTAATACTGAAAAACATGACAAAAATATAACATATCCCCATAAATCGTGGATTGTATGCTTTGGTGTAAGTGGAATGTAGGAGAAGAAACAAAATTAAATAACAGAACATTTTGAAGGGTAACTGAATGAAGGATTAAAACAAATGTAACGAGCTTTTGAAATGGTTAGATTACTTCAATAAACCGTCAACAAGAAACTCATAGATATGCAGTGTTCAGTGACGTAAATGAGCCACCGCGTGATTAATGGATTTCGAACGCGACCTTTGCAATTAACGAGCGCTGGCGGCCATGAAAACCGAGGGAAGAAAATCTCGTAATGGCAGCGTGTACGAGTTGTACTGAAAGTATTCTTTATTGTAGTATTCTGTAGTTATATTACGAACTTTCATAAATTATTGAAATTTATTGTATCTATATGTTTCTATAAAATGGTCCAATTGCCTTGCTAGGTGAAATGCATTGGGCTTGTAAAATTGTTTTGTGGTATTAGAAAAGTGGTTGCTCATGGTCAGCGGTGGGACTATTCCCACGTCATACTTTTCTTGCTTGACGATAAGGAACAGGGAAAAACATAAAAGTGAACATTTTTTTCTTATCATGTTTTGTCTCCTCGCATCTCAGCAACTTGAAATACTTTTCGAAAAAAAATAATTAAGTTGCGTTAACGGACATTTCAACATGACGTGGCTGGTATCTCAGTATTCTGTTGAAAAAAACACTACTTGCAATTAAATATTGAACAAATTTGTACATTGGATTAATCACAATTGTAAATGATTAAACCTTTTCTAATAAACTTTTTGTAGCAAAAGACAGAATTTTGCTGGTAGCTGACGGTGAAAACCCATATTCACAGCGAGTAAGCTCATATTTTATTGACCGTCTTTCATATGAGCAGTGTTTTGTAAAATTCTCAATATTTACTCTCTC